TGTGAGCTTAGTGGGAGACGTACGGTACAAAGCTGCCTTGAACCATGGGAAAGGTGGGATATAAATGCTTTAAATAATAATAATAATATAAATGTTCATCTCTTATACATAAAATTATGTAATAGAGATGTTCCAGGTTTGGTGCAAAATACATACAATGTACAGCTCTACTGGTTTGAAATACTATTGCTAACTCAAATGACAAGTACCTACCCTGGTGTACAAGAAGAAAAATCCAAAAGCTATTGTAGTGTAGTATCTTTCATCAGGATCAATTTTTAAAAAATCACACAGTGGTGAGAAAGCTTTCAAGTGCTGCAGAAGACTGGGGCGGGGGGGGATCACGTCCCCACCCCCACAACTCAAAGTGAAAGTCCATTCTGCAACTTGTAATAATCTTCGAACAGCCTCATACAAACAATGCGCTGATTAAGTTTGGTCAGATAATGCAAAACAGATCTCCATTTGCACCCAGGGCTCTTCAGGGACAGGGGTGCCTTTGAAAAGATCCATCCCGGCTACCTTAGGACCCTGCCTCTTACCTGTCAGAGGGCATCCAACCTACCAGCAGCAGAGTCCCATCACTATTTCTTAGGTGGCAGAAGTTCCATTCAGGTAGGGAAGCTGGACCCAGTTTATCCCTGATGGACCACCTAAAATTAGCCTCCAACTTTGCTAATAGAATGAGCACCACCTTTCCCCTTTCCTTTTGCTATCAGGGACTTGGCTGGGCCAATTAAACCCCAGAGGCAGATCCAAACTGTTGTCGGCTTGTGTGCTTTCAGTGTGCTGTGATCCAGTGAAATCTCCCTGCTGAAAATGTGGCCTCACCTAATACAGGATGCAGTCCTAAATACGGATGGCTAGGACTTTGTAAGGAGCTGCGGTGGCTCAAGTGGTTAAGACACTGAACTGCAGGCTGTGGAAGGTCAGTAGTTCAGCAGTTCGAGACCCGAGTGTGCCGCATGACGGAATGAGCTCCCGTCTCTGGCCCCAGCTCCTGCCAGCCTAGCAGTTCGAAAGCAAGAAATTGCAAGTAGATAAACAGGTACCACTTCGGTGGGAAGGTAACAGCGTTCCGTGCGCCTTGGTGTTTAGTCATGCCAGCCACATGACCACGGAAACGTCTTCGGACAGCACTGGCTCTTCGGCTTTGAAACGGAGATGAGCACAGCAACCCTAGAGTCGGATTCGACTGGCTTTCAAGCAAGGCAACCTTTACCTTTACCTTTTAGGGCTTTGTAGCTTGGAGAAATGGTGATTGAGGGGTGACGTGAGAGAGGTGTACAAAATTAAGCATGGGATAGAGAAGGTGCCGACTTTACTGCCAGCCTGAGCCTGCCAAGAGTGGATGTACTGTTGAATATACGTTTCTAAATGCACTTTACCATACCCGCGTCGCCATCGATATACTCATGGTTTTAACATTTCTATCATGTATTTTAAATTGATATTTATATTGCTGTTTTATCTATTGGTTCCGTAGGTAAGCTGCCCTGAGCCTGCCTTGGCAGGGAGGGCGGGGTAAAAAAATCAAAGTAATAAATAAATAAATAAATATAAATAAGTACTTTTCTCTCTTTCTCATACTACAAGAACTTGTGGGCACTCAATGAAATGAATGAGCAGTAAGCTTAAAACAGATAAAAGGAAGTCCTTCTACGCCCAAAGAGTCATTAACACGTGGAATTCACTGCCGCAGGAAGTGGTGGTGACTACAAGCATAGCTTTATGGGGATTGGATAGCCCTAATCTGGATAGCCCAGGCAAGCCCGATCCCATAATATCTTGGAAGCTAAGCAGGGTTGACTCTGGCAAGTACTTTGATGGAAGACCTCCTTGGAATATACAATAACACAAAGGGTACAGCAATAAGGAGTAACAAGTAATGGAAAATTGCTGCAAACGTGCATACAAATAAATGACAATGACAATGACAGTTTGTCCGATGTAAGTTTACCTTTGATACTGTATGCTGTGAGCCACTGAGGAAGCATTTGGGATTTAGGATTTCCATTTTGTGAAGAGTAATATATGAAGACCATGGAAGATTGAGATTTTGACAAAGAATTGTATCGAAACGAACGGTGTTACTTGAGAGGTTCGTAATCCGCTCGTCTCCACGCCACTATTGTGTTGGTTTGCCACTTCAATGCTGGAAACAAGAATTAAAACAACATGAGAGCATCATGAGACCTCCTTGGAATGCCAGAGCCAGGAGGCGGGGCAGGCTTTATCTAGCCACCTTTCTGAATATCCTCCAGGGGTCAGTCACCAGAGGTCGCCATGACTTCCAGGTGCACACGCACTCACACATGCACATAAAAATACAACAATACAAAAGAAGAAGAAGAAGAGGGGGTTGGATAAGCATATGGAGCAAAGGTCCATTGGTGGCTATTAGCCACAAGGTATGGAACACTATGGGTGTGTTCAGATGGGGCATTTACAATGGTATAGGTGCCGGTTGGAATTGGTGTACTTACCGGCGTTCACACGTAGAACATCTGCCTTCCATCCCTAACCGTTGCAAAGAGCTTTAAACCGGTTTATTCTGCTACTAGGTCCCCAAGTGGTGGTATCCTGAGTGCAACGGTTGTAACCGCTTTACCCCCTGTCTGAGCGCTCTCCACCATTGTAGAGCTGCTTCCGTTTGGAAGCCTGAGGCTTCCGCTTTTCACCCACCATTTTTTTTTGTTAGGTCGGTGATATGCGCTTGGGCGAAGCTTCGCCCCGGCATTTGTTTAAAGAAAAAGAAAAAGGTCCTTAGTTTAAGGTTTTAGAGGAGTCCGGGACCTCAGGGAGGCCAGTTTGGTCTTTAAACTTTAAAAGTAAGTCCTCTCTTCAGGGCATGCTTTTCGGGACGGGGTGTTTTGCGCATGCACGAAGATCACCATTCTGTGGATGGCTGCCTATGCGCATGCGCAAACTGATTAAAAAAAATACTGCTGACAAGCGCTGTGTGTTAACGGGCATACAGCGATGGGCTCTGCAGACAGGAGGTAAGTGTGATCGCGTTTCAACTGGCATAAACTGCACCGGTTGGAACCGGTGAAGTTTATGCCGGCTGAAACACCCCGTCTGAATGCACCCTATGTCTGGGGCAGTGATGCTCCATATTCTTGGTGCTTGGGGAGCAACAGTGGGAGGGCTGCTGGAGTTCTGGCTCCACTGGTGGACCTCCTGATGGCACCTGGGTTTTGACCACTGTGACACAGAGTGTTGGACTGGATGGGCCACTGGCCTGATCCAACATGGCTTCTCTTATGTTCTTTTAAGCCCCAGTGAAGAAGTCCCAATGAAATCAGCAGGACCTCTTAGTGTACGCACTGAGGATTGCACTGTCTCCATTCCATTTGAAGACTATGTCAAACTGCAGAAACAGAGTTTTCCCATTTTGACCCGCAATTGGTTTCTCTTCTTTTTTGTTTCTGGGGTTGTCTGCTTTGCTTCAGAGCCAGCCTGATGAAGAGCTCTGGTGAACTCGGACGCTTGCCCTCATCCTCTTCTGATGTTTTCATTGGTTCTAATGAAGGCACTCTGCTCCTGGGGCTTATTTCTTGGCAACAAGTGACTGCTTCACTAATTCACTTGGGGAAATTAAGCACAGTCTATCTGGGGCAGGTTTGCCAACCTCCAGGTGGTGGCAGGGGATCTCCTGGGATTGGAAATGATCTCCAGGTGACAGAGATCAATTCACCTGGAGGAAATGGCCACTAAAAAGGTGGACTCTGTGGCATTATACCACATTGAAGTCCCTCCTCTCCCCAAATCACACCTTCCTCAGGCTCCACCCCTCAAATCTCCAGGTATTTCCCAACCTGGAGTTGGCAACTCTTATCTGGGTAAATTGGTCCCCCAAACACTCTCCAAGCGGAATAAATGGGCTTGGAAACCAGTCACTTTTCAGATTCCACTTGCAGGCTGAGTTTCATCTGTACTTTAATGATAAGACAACTCAGAACGCATTCCAAGACGATCAAGATCACTTCCCCTGGAGAAAATGGCTGCTTTGGAGAGGGGTCTCTGTGCCATTATAGCCTGCTGAGGACCCTCCCCTCCCCTCCCTAAACCCCGCCCTCCCCAGACTCCACCCCCAAATCTCCAGGTATTTCCCAAACCAGAGCTGGCAAACCTAGCTAGCATCCCACCTCTCCCACCGAGGCAGGGCTATTTTTGGGCAGGAGCGCACAGGAGCGGAGTTCCGGCTGGCTCCTGAGTTGGCCACGCCCAGCAGGAACTCATTAGCATAACAGGCCACACCCAACAGCAGACACTCATTGGAATTGGCTACATTAGGGGTGTGTGGCCTAACATGCAAAGGAGTTCCTGGGTCTTGACAACAAACAAGGTAAACAAAATAAGAAGCAAAAGGTGGGTGTGGCTGGATGACCACACTTCTGGTAGCATGGGGGTGTGGCCTAATATCCTAATGAGCGGTACTATCTGGGGTGTGGCCTAATATGCTAATGAGTTTCTGCTGTTGGGTATGCCTTATTATGCTAATGAGTTCCTGCTGGGCTTTTTCTACAAAAAAGGCCCTGCACCCAGGTATTGTTGTTCAGTCGTACAGTCGAGTCTGACTCTTCGCGACCCAGGTATACCAACTTAATAAGCCATATTTTCATTCCATACATTTGGCTCTACAGTCACAGGTTGCAGGATTGCCTCTGAAAGCCCCCCCTCCCCTAACCCAACGTGAAGCCACAGACTATAATCCTATGGATCAGTGAAGGAGGAGGAGGAGAAGGTACTTGGCGCCTGCTGCACCCCCCCGGCTCCTGCCCCCCCACCCCCCTGACCAGTGACCACCCTCTCTTGGTGGCCCTGCTAAAAGCCCTGTGCGGGGTGTGTGTGTGTTCCTTTTTTACTGAATTTCGCCATTAAACTGGGATGCTTTTTGAAAATTACTGATTACAGGTTTAATGGATTAGAACTGCTTGAACTCACAGCTCTAATTGGAAAGAGCGAATCAATTATCTTTCTCTCTCCTCCCGCAGGCTGAACGATGAACGAGGCCCGGAGGTCAGCCATGGTGGCTCCGGAGGTGACGGAGCCCCAGCAGGAGTCGTCCCTCAATGCCACCGAGATGCCCAGCAAAGAGAACGTCTTTTCAGACATGAAGGACAAGTTCATGAACAAACTGGGCAAGCTACCAAGTAGGTAGAGCTGGGCATTCTCCAGTCCAGGGTTCCAGAGTAGACACCGGGTTGGGATCCAGTCAGATATGGCTTCGTTCCCTGGATCGCTTACGTTTGCATTTCTTGGCACATGGGCCTTTTTTCCCCACGCACATGGGCCTTTTTTCCCCACGTGTCTTTTGAAATTCCCTTCAAGTGCAAACAAAGCACTACTGAAATCTCACCTTGCCTGCTTTTATGTATTTTTTTAAAGTTTCCAGTCCTCATGTCTGTGAAACTCTGCTTGAATACATGAACCTTATGCAGCCGAAAAGGGGGGGGGGGGAGAGGGCAGGCTATGTGGATTAAAATGCCAGGAGCTTGAAAAATGACCCTTCTTGAAAAGACAAGTGTTTGCACAAAGGATGTGGAAGTGGCGCAAAAATGAATACGGCCTGTGTTCATTGTTCCCTCTAAGTTATGGAGTCCTGTGAGCAAAAATTCTACTCTGTGAGCTACTGGCATTAAAGCTGTGAGCCAGCAATTTGGCTACTGCATAAATTAGTTTGGTCTGGAGCCATCCTTCCTGAGCTAAGACAAAAATGTGTGAGCCAGAGGCTAAAAAACTGTGAGCTCGCTCACACTAACTCAGCTTAGAGAGAACACTGCCTGTGTTAGAGGGCAGCACGAGGCAGAAGTCTCTGCTGCAGCAGCCCAGCTCCTGTCCAGAGTGCCAAGGCGCTCTGCATCAGTACCAAGCATTGTCCCACCCCAGACTCAGCTGCCTTCCTCTGCTCTCCTCCCCTCTCCCTTAACTGTTCCGCTCTGCTTCAGTCCCGCCCTGGGCTTTGGCCTCCATCCTCATCGTGGCTGCCCTCCTCCTCCTCTGCTGCTGCTTCTGCGCCTGTAAGAAATGCTGCGGCAAAAAGAAGAAAGGCAAGAAAGGCAAAGACAAAGTGAAGGCCCAGATCAACATGAAGGAGGTGAAGGAGCTGGGGAAGAGCTACATCGATAAGGTGAGTTGCTGGCGGTTCTCTCGTCAGCAGACCCCATGGAAATGTTTTTCTTGAAAGAAAGACCCTACATGAAGCCCCGCAGGAAGAGTTTCCTGTAGTGACCACCGGTAGTGCAGTGGTCAGGAGTTTCCTGTAGTGGCCACCGGTAGTGCAGTGCTCAGGAGTTTCCTGTAGTGGCCACTGGTAGTGCAGTGGTCAGGAGTTTCCTGTAGTGGCCACCGGTAGTGCAGTGCTCAGGAGTTTCCTGTAGTGGCCACCGGTAGTGCAGTCGTCAGGAGTTTCCTGTAGTGGCCACTAGTAGTGCAGTGCTCAGGAGTTTCCTGTAGTAGCCACCGGTAGTGCAGTGCTCAGGAGTTTCCTGTAGTGGCCACCGGTAGTGCAGTGCTCAGGAGTTTCCGGTAGTGGCCACCAGTAGTGTACTTGTCAAGAGTTTCCTGTAGTGGTCATCTGCTGTTTCCTGTAGTCTCTGGGACGCCCAGAAGGAGGACAAGCAGGCCAAAGCCTTCCCCTTGCTGCTGCCCCCAATAAATGAGTATCCAGAAGTACACTGCCTTTGAATATGGAGGGTCCACCCTGGCCCATAGCCTCTGATAGGCCAAAGTTGCTTCAACATGGAGGCAAGTTCCCTACTGAAGTCCCATTGTCGTGCCGAAGCAATGCGGTTCTCCAGGAAGTTTATGCAGTGATGTCTCTAAGCTCTCCCTGTGCCCTGTGGCAGCAAATTCCTTCAGATAACGTTGTAAAATCAGTTACAAAATGAAGACGCATCTGCTTCAAAAATGGCAGAGCCTTGTGAAATAGAGGGGTTCTGGAATTTGTCTAGGGTTGCCATCCTCCAGGTGGGGCCTGGGGATCTCCCGCTTTCACAACTGATCTCCAGCTGACAGAGATCAGCTCCCCCTGGAGAAAATGGCTGCTTTGAAGGGTGGGCTCTGTGGCATTGGACCCGGCTGAGGCCCCTCCCCTCCTCAAACCCCACCCTCTCCTGACTCCACCCTCAAAGCCTCCAGGTATTTTCCAACGGAGAGCTGGCAACTCTAAATTTGTCAGCCGCAATCAAAGTCTCTGTCTGAAATGCTCGAGACAGGGTCCTGAAGGGGTCAGAGCCCCACCTCAAGAAGTGGAATGATGCAGGTTTAAATCCCCACTCAGCCCCGAAGCTTCCTTGGCCTCCTTGGGCCAATCGGTCTCTCAGCCTAGCCGGCTTCACAGT